GGTTCTTATTCCCGGGGAATTCCTCTCGTTGTCTTGCCCGTAATACCTGGGCTAGAATTCCTTGCCCGAAACCTAAGGAGCAGTTACTTCAACCGTATAGTGATTCCGAGAGGCTCATCCGCAACTATTATCCGATTTAAGTGTAAGAATTATTATATTCTTAGGTAAAAAATATATATATATTTTAAAGTTCATATTTAATTTATTCATATAGTCTATTTTGAATTGTGTAGTTTAAATGTTCCTTGAAGGTATAAGCTATATCTAGCTACCCTGTAAATTCGAGTATGTACGGGAGTCGCTTATTTAGATATGTAACATTTGTTACCGTTATTGTGGACGGAAAACATTTCTGAAAATGCAGCTTTTTGAAAAAGATGACGTTATGAAATTTCTCTGACTTCTCTGACCGGGTTTTCCTCAAACACAAATCCAAAATGACCAGTGACTTAACTTGTGTTGCGTTTTTAAATTCCTCCGGGTTGAATGGACGGAAAACATTTGATGCGTTTTCAGAATGAAAACACCGTTTAAAGTTCCTCCGGCTTGGTGTGGACGGAAAACATTTGATGCGTCATTCAAAATGAAAACACGCTTTTCAAGTTCCTCTGGCGCAGTGTGAACGGGGCGTCAAAAAAAGGCCGAGAAGAGGGAGGCGCGTTTACTCGAAGNGAATGAAAACACCGTTTAAAGTTCCTCCGGCTTGGCGTGGACGGAAAACATTTGATGCGTCATTCAAAATCAAAACACGCTTTTCAAGTTCCTCTGGCGTAGTGTGAACGGGGCGTCAAAAAAGGGCCGAGAAGAGGGAGGCGCGTTTAGTTTGAAGGGGGCGATTATTCCAGGGGAGGAGGGGGGGCGCTAATTCCAGAATGTACGGTATTCATGTGGAGTGTTGGTTGAGGATTTGTTGTTGATTGAGCTTTGGAGCAATGATCCCGATCATCTGTTTACTTACCGATCAGGTAAAAAAATGTGTCGGCAAAAAGCCTCAATAGTTCACCGGAGTTGTTATTTGCAATGTTCGATAACGTGATCATAAGAAATATAACATCTTGCAGCAATTAGAATTAATTTTTTTTGATAGCCAAGAAGCCCCGGGACGACAGAAATCAAACATGAGAAAAATAATCTTTCACAAAATCAGGAGTCAATAGCATTAATGTAACTGTCAAGAGGGTAATGTGCTTCTGCCCGATTAGATATTTAGTAGTAGTAACAGGAGGTCATGTGCTCCTATAGCCGACTAACTGTTCACTAAGATGGAATCCCGATTTTTCGAACGTCAAAAACAAAAAAAGAGTTTTTTGAAAAATTGGGTAGTTCGAGAGAAATCGGAGGTAAAATTACTGTGGGAGACTCAGGGGAGAGTAACGACTTCTGGTTCGGAAAATCAGAAGTCGAAAAATCGGGATTCCAAATTGTTTCACGAAGGTAAACCGTGGTGTTATCTATGCCATGGGACGAAATAATCCGTACTCTAGTTCCCTCTCACACGCGATTGATCAATGGTCTACTGATTAGACCTATATATATAAACCAGTAAGCCACACGGAAAATATTGTCATTCGCAAATTTATACCACACATTTCATGCATGGTTCAATTATCGGTTTAGTAAAAACCCACTTGGGTTGTTGACACAATAGAGAGATAATGATTGACTGGGCTGACAAATGAGTCAAGTGCGTTATCACAGCAGCCCATCATAGTAACACTTTGTTTTGTACAAGAGTAGGATCCTATTATGTGATTCTTTTCTCGGATACCGGGCTCTTCGTTGAAAACCTTCCGAAGTGATATTTTTACCCTTTCTTCCTGTGCGACATTCTCGCCGCCCTGTCACGTTGACCTGTTTAAGGGTTTGAAAAAAAACCATGTTAACGATTGTCTTCCATACGTTCATTCGTTTAGCTTGTAGAAACTTGGCATTATCTATTACGGTATCGAGAAAATGTGTTTCCTGAAACTTGACGAATTTTTTGCACCAATGTTGCAGCAATCAAAGCAAAAATAGGAAATCAGTCAGGCATGAGTTGACAAAAAATTAGATTAATGGACCCATGGGGTGAATGTACGACAGGTAAAAAGAGGAAAAGATTTGATTTTATTGCTTTTTAAAGGTGTCTGTACAACCGAGATAACATCAAACGCGCGCAACTAATTTACACATTTAAGGTAATATTGAAAGTCATTTTAATCTTTCTTAACCTTTCTAAGCCATTGTTCTTTTCATGCGCGGTTCGTTTACGGTTTGAACTGTTCATTCAAAGACAATGGGAGGATTAAGGCAGTCCAATTAGTGATCTACATAAGTATAAACAAACAGCTAAACTACTTTGGGTTATCGCGAAATCTATTACTGTTCGGAGCGTTCGTTCAGCTTTTTCCCTTCTTCCATTTTTTCTGGCCGTTTACATGGCTAGAATATAACACAGCCCTGGCGGGTTAGAAGTATAATTAATTGCTACTGACCTTCACAATCAGAATTTACGGCGCTATTAAGATCTGTCACAAAGCAACGAATCGAGAGGGAAAATATTTAGATGTCAATAATTTCCGGCGGAACGCGCGCTTCACTGGAATGGCAGAAGGATTGAAACGTAAGATGCGAAACATTTGTTTGATTGATTCTTTGTGGAAGACCAGATTGAACTGTTCGTTTCACATTACGAAAAGCCCTTTGACGGTGACGAACATTTAACATTCGACAATTCTTCACACATCAGTTTTGACACTGGCCTAGAGACTGTCCAAGTGGGAATATTTATAATCTTGTTGGCCTTTCATTCTCTTCACTATTTTTTCAACGGACAGTTTATCACTTCGGGATCAACACAACAAAGTGGATATGGTTGTGTTTTTGTTTCCGTTCTGCGTATTTCTTAAGCTACAACTTTTGGTACAATTCTCGAATTGTTTCGAAGAAAAGAACCGTCCGAGTTGGACATTGTCGTCTGGCAGCGTTTGGCCGGCCTTTAAGGACAACCAGCCGGTAAATCATCAATTTATATTACCCAGGATACGATATACTGCTAGAAAAGACAAAACACCGACAGCTCCTGGGTCGGCCTACGTAGCAAAAACGGTGAGTAAATTTAAGCCATTTTAAGACTAAGGAAAATTGCCAGCGAAGGACACGAGTTGGGTTTTTTTATATTGGGCTTCGAATCGGCATGGGTCCTTGAAAACTCACCAGGTGTAGATAAAATACCACATACGTGGCTTACCAGAGACTTGAGAAAACCACGAAAACCTACAAAAGGCGGCATTCCGCCATTGTTACGAATATTCCGTGGTTTGATGCAATATACTTTAGCGAATGTTTATCTCAAACGTTCAGGTTAATCGTGCGGTGCGCAGAGACATAATTCACGCGATGTGTTACTCAGTTCGTGATGTGGACATCAGATATTTGTCACACCGGAAGGCAATATGAAATCAATCTGGTTTACAGCTTTACAGCTAGACTAAGGGGAATTACTTAATATATATTGCCTTTTTATTTAGCTTGGTAAGCTGTCTGGAACAAAACTATCGAAGGATGACAAAATGAACTGAAAACCTATGAAAGGATTAATATTCATGAAGGTCATTTGACCGAATGTATTCCGCTCTTGTGACATTCATCACGGGCTGTAAAAACAGATCAGGGCCCATGCAGCGTTTCACGCCGCGTTATTGTTTGTTTTTATAGCTTCATTTTTTTATAAGTGCAATTTGAACGAAAAGCACCTAAGCGTAAAATAAGCGTTAAATTTATCAACAATGTTCCAGGCGTACTGAATTCGAAACCAGAACATCACGGGACGACATCGATAAATATGCGAACGGCGAATGAGTCCCGGCTTGCATGTTATGCTAAAGTTGTGCGATAGATCACACAGCGCGAGTCAGAGAAAATCGTCAGATTAGGAATGTCTGAGCCTTTAAGACCTATAAAATGGACGTTATTTTTTCTTTTTCTGCAAAGTAAATAATCCTCAGAAACGTTTCGGCGCGCGTCATGGGAGTCTGTACTAAGCTATAATTTTAGCCTTAAGCAATTTTCACACTTTGAAGTCATTACAGCAGTTTTTAAAAAGCTACACCTTACTAAACATTATCAATCAAAAGATACAGCTCTCGGGTGTTGACAGTATGTTTTGAATTCATCATAGAACGCTTATCTGGTCGAATCTAGAATTTACAGATGAAAATCGACAAACACCTCTTTGTACGTATTGCTTACCTACATCAATAGCATGTATGTTTTACAGTCTAAGACGACTTTTTATGTGAATTATTTAAATTGATGGCAAGTCTGTTGCGAAAACTTAAATCTCTACTGAGTCAAAAATTGCCAAGATAAACAGATTTATTTTAATAAAAGCAGTAGCAGTCGGCTTATCTTGGAAAAAAGTTGCTCAATTTAAACAGCTTCTAAATGTAGTACCCCTATTAGCGTTTGAGTTATAGATAGTTAATCACTAAAGGTAAAGCATCCGAATGAAACAGGACTCCTAGGCAGCTGGAAACGTAAGATGCCCTAAAGACCTACAATAGGGCACTAATCTTTTGTAACATCTTTGTTTTGCAGGCCGGTAACTCAGAGATAAAGGCAGAAATAACATTCATTGCCTTTCAACAAAACTTCACGCTTGACTTGTATCAGAATCGCGGCCTCTTCACTTCGCGATATCGTGAAAGACACGAACGCTATAACAACGACTCTGCCACAGACACGAGAACTATGAACCACTGTTTCTACCATGGCACTTTGAGGGGTAGGGAAAGGTCGACAGTGTCTCTTTCTACTTGTGAAGGGATCGAGGGCCTGATTTTCGACGGACTTAAGTCTTACCATATAGAACCAACAGACAACTCATTTCATTTAATCTATAGAATGGATGATTATAACTTTAACGAACATTACTCAACCGAACAAAGAACGACACAGGACGAGGGCGTTTGCACGATTAATATTCAAACTCATCGAGGGTTTTCAAAAAGATCTACTGAAAACGACTTAAAAACTCACAAAAGAACTCGTAGGGACGTCTTTACCGAAACCAAATATGTTGAACTGCTTATAATTAACGACCACAAACAATTTGAAGCTTGTGGAAAGAACCTGACCAAGACAAATATGCGCGCAAAGCAGATCGCAAATATAGTGGATGCTATTTTTAAACCGCTGAACGTGCGTGTCGCGTTGGTTGCTATAGAAACCTGGGACGTAGCGGACAAAGTGAAAGCGGACGACGATGCAGAGACGTACTTGTCAAACTTGATAAAATACAGAAAAAAGAAACTGCTTCGAAAGTATCCAAATGACGTAACGAAACTTTTAACTGGAGTGTCGCTCAGAGATTCCATTCGCGGCAAAGCTCAGGTTATGACAATCTGTTCGCGGCAATCCGCGGGCGTTATTCAGGATTACAGCCGGAACGCCGCGTTCACCGCGAACACGTTCGCCCACGAGCTGGGTCACTTGTTTGGCATGTATCACGATGAAGATCTTCCGCGCTGTGTGTGCAACACGCGCAACTCGCGCGGATGCGTAATGAGCGAGCATGTCGGTCGTGAACCAGCCACTGAATTCAGCAACTGCAGTCTTAAGGGGCTCGAGGAGACTTTATCGCGGGGCTTAGGGAACTGTCTTTTTAACGTTCCTAGGAGTTTGGTTGGGGGACCGGTTTGTGGAGACGGTATCGTTGGAGGCGGCGAGGAGTGCGACTGTGGAACGGCGCAAGAATGTGCTGATAAGAGAGACAATTGCTGCAATCACGTGACGTGCAAGCTGCGTGCGCATGCTCAGTGTGCCGATGGCGCGTGCTGTGAAAAGTGTAGGTTTAAAATGAGTGGAGCTATTTGCAGGGAGAAAGTCGACGAATGTGACATCCCGGAAACTTGCAAGGGCTCTTCAGGGGTTTGTCCCCAGGATGCGTTTGTCCATAATGGCTATCCTTGTGCAAACAACACGGCCTATTGTTATCTTGGGAAATGTCTGACCCACGACCAGCAATGTCAGGACCTGTGGGGCCGCGATGCCGTATCAGGTCCTGATATGTGCTATAATTATCACAACACGCGCAGCCCGGACAAATTTGGCCACTGCCGCAGGTCAAAGAAAGGGAGATATCGAGCTTGCCAGCTGCAGGATGCAAAATGTGGCAAGCTGTGGTGCCGTGCGAGAAATCAACGGCCTGTCATAGGCATACGGCGAGATGTGATGAACTCACGCTGGCCTTTTGATGGTAAAATAATCACGTGTAAAGGGGCAAGCTTACAAATGGGCCTGGATGTACCTGACGCGGCCATGACTCTCGAGGGAACGAAATGCGGTGACGGCAAAGTATGCCTGAACCGCCAATGTGTTTCAGTAAATGAAATTCTTAAAATGGTGCCTGGCTGTGCCAAAAACTGCTCAGGTAATGGAGTATGTAGCAATATTGGCACATGCCACTGTTACGAACCATGGACAGGGATCTCCTGTGGTGAAAAGATCCATGATATCAAACCAACTTCTAAAGCAAGCCAGCCGATTAAAACACTGTTCTATAGCACCACAAGAACGTATTTGTCCACGCAAAAATCATCAACAACTACACAGACGACGTCAATGAGAACTTTGACTCCAACTGCTGTCCAAGGAATTGAATCCAAAGTAATTTACTCCACTGTTTCTGCGAGCCTAGTGGCTTTAATCATTCTCCTTGTGGTAGGACTTTGTAGTTATAAACGACACTACAAGCACCAGAAATTTGTGTTGCAACATACGAGTAAAACACGTAAAATTCGGTCACAAGTTAAGGTCATTGTTATTTAAGAGAAACGGTAAATTAAGTATTTTATAGACGAGTCTCCCAAGACCTTAAAATAAGGGGAACAATTGTATATAAACATTTTTCAGAATTAAATTATTGGTGCAGCTTTGCCTTTGTTCACCTTCTTTATCGCAACGCTTCTTCTATTTATATCATGCCACAGAAAAAAACAGCCAATCAGAATGCAGGAAAGCCGTCGTATATTCGATAGTATTACACTCAACCTTCCCATCATGCGCCGCGCGTATGTCGCATTGATTGTGTTGGCCACTGTATTTTCTATGGCATGGTATAAAATGGTTAACAATTATTTACCGAAGTGGAGGTAAATATCCACCACTTTCACCCACACTGAGGTATAGTATATACCACACAAGCTGAATAACTAGCGGACCAAAGAGTGACTTTATTTGTTTAAGAGTGACTTTATTTGAAACGGGAAGCCATTTTGTTTTTCTTCGGCTGCTCGGAGGTGAATATATAGTACTTGGCTAATCACCTCCGAGCTAGCCAATCAGCGTGCGCGAAAAGTACTATTCACTTGTGTGGTATATACCAATTTGTGATGTGCCGTGGAATATCATATCCCACCTCTCACTTGTGCTTTTCACGGGTGTACAAACGTGGGATGAAGAGGCTGGCCGGAGCCTTTGAGAAAGTGTTACCTAGAAAAAGAGCTTTGTACTACCCTTTCCTGTTAGCTTAAAACGATTGATCAATCTCTGACCAGACCATTACCAAGAAAGCAATTTCTCAAACAAAGTTACCTGCCAATCAGACAGAATTTTTCACCGAATGGAAAGTGCCACGATTAGTTTCAGTTTGGTGCGTGCTTTTTTAATTGTTTTCCTCATTATCATGTAGTGATTCTCATTAGCAAATAAAAAGTAGGTCAGCAATGCGAACATGTGTTTAGTGCATACAGGATTGATACTGGGAATTGATAGTTTACATGCAGATATTGTTATGCCCTGAGAATTTTCTTGTGATTAATGTAATGGTGGGTTCTAAACATATGTTTGTATTTAGTTATTATTCATTCCTATTATTGGGTTGAAAAGCTTTAAAAGTATTGTAGTGTTGTTTGACCCATGCAGGCGTAAGAAATGGTTTTATGTATAACAGCTCAAGGCAGGCACGTATCTAAACCAATCAGCCTGTACGTATGAATGGACCAATCAACAGGGGTGTCAGTTCAGCCTGGCCCAGGGTGTTCTCCCTCTCGCCATTTTGAAAAGTGGAGACGGCCCTGAGGACGGGGTTGGTTGGCGGCTTACTCGGGAGGGGTTGGGGGTAGGGGTTGCCGATGTCAGCATGTCAACCTGAACGAGCCTGCGTTAACTAAACCTGATGATAATGTCGATCAGTGTAAAACACAGACTGCAGACTGCAGACCGGGGGTAAAATGCAGACTGCAGACTGCAGACCAGGTGTAAAATGCAAACTGCAGACTGAAGACTTTTTAACCGAATTGTGCTACCAATTCCATCACTCAGAGCTAATCGTAAACAGGCTAAACGGTGCATTATTGAGAGGCTGACCTGAGTGATGCTCCGGCTAACGTAAGTGATATTCAGGCTAACCGTCGAACCGGAGCGCACACTTTCACTGCGATTAGCCTGAATAATCCCATTTACGGGTAGCAATCGAAAATGAAAATTACACGATATATACCTTATTACATGAAATTTTCGCGACACGTCAATTTCGCGAATTTCGCGATTTAAAAAAAATCGCGAAATTTTAGTGACGCGAAAATTAAATGTGAAATTAACATGATGCGAAAATTAAGTGACTCACATTACGTCAATAATTAAAAAAGCGATTTATTACCACTACACACGTTTATAACAATCATTTTGAACTATTCTGTGGTAATGTTCTGGTCCTCTTCATCACTACTGCTTTCCGTCTCCACTCCAGGTAGCACTTCTTTTGTACAATCCTCAAACTGTCCATTTACTGGCTCCTTGTGGTGCTGTTCCACTGGTTGCTTAAACCTTTCAATTGCCTTGTAGACACTGTGAGAACATCCTTCTTGTCACTGTTTACATAATCAGTTGCGTTTCTGTTTATTTGGACGTTGCTGATTAAGTTGTTTGATCAAATTCAGGGACATCTTAAATAATATTGACAAAGAAATATAGTGTCTCACTCAAAAACGCGAAATTAAAGTGAGTCAAAATGCAAAATTTTTCGCAAAATCGCGAAATTAAGGTGTCGCGAAATATGCGAACCTCAAAATCGCGAAATTAACGTGTCGCGAAAATTTCATGTAATAAGGTAGTTAAGGACGGTGCCTACTTTTGTTAGTGCGCACACGTTCTGCGCATCACGCAAGCCATGGGTTAGCTCCNTTGTAGTGCTGTTCCACTAGTTGCTTAAACCTTTCAATTGCCTCGTAGACACTGTGAGAACATCTTTCTTGTTACTGTTTACATAATCAGTTGCGTTTCTGTTTATTTGGACGTTGTTGACTAAGTTGTTTGATCAAATTCAGGGACATCTTAAATAACATTGACAAAGAAATATAATGTGTCTCACTCAAAAACGCGAAATTAAAGTGAGTCAAAATGCAAAATTTTCGCAAAATCACGAAATTAAGGTGTCGCGAAATATGCGAACCTCAAAATCGCGAAATTAACGTGTCGTGAAAATTTCATGTAATAAGGTAACTATGAGTTGGCCTTGAAATGGAGCTTCTTTGCGGAAAGCTGCAGATCGTGGTCTCTACTTTTATCTAACAGGGCAATCAAATTTCAGTCATGGTTTATATTTCCTTCGTCTTTAGCGTCACACACACAAATATGCAGACATCATCGCTTCCATCCAGGAACTCGTGTTGGTGACGTTGGTACTCTTCTGGCCCCTGAGGAGAGCAGCATGCACTTGTAGCAATATATGACGGTTGTTTGGTCCCAGGAAAGTGGTTAGATATGGAGACTTGTTATCTAATACAACGACATAAAACACTTCTGACACATTTACAATGGCGAATACCTTAGCCTTTGTCAGCAATGGTAGCTTTTCTTCAATTATCAAGACGGAGTATATCGGTCTTTTCATTGCTCAGTTCATCGTCTGGATGGGTGTATGAATATCCTAATCTTTCCATTGGGTTTCTTTTTGACTAGTGTATTGGAAAGCCATTCTGTTGGTTGGGTAACTGGGGCCCGTTTCTCGAAGGTCCCGAAAAGGTTTCGCACCTGAAAAGCCGTAGCAAAATCTCAAACCTTTTGACTTCAGAGCTGTTTCAATCATATATTCTTAATACGAACAGAGGTTCTCTTCATACGAGAAGTTTCAGGCGTATACACATATCTGTCTTTAAATACCGATTAACTAAAAAATGGCTTTTCGGGCCCGAAAAGATTCCGGGGCTTTCGAGAAACGAGCCCCAGGCTTGTTAATTCCTTTGTCACAGTGCCTTTTTAGTTCGTCATTAATTCTGTCGAGCTTGGCCAGTGGAAGAAGGTTTGATCTCCTTACGTAATGACTGTGGTCTTTGCCTTCGAAATCTTCACGCCGGGAAACATCTTTCGTATCGCACTTCATGCATGGTATCACACGTAGATGCAGAGTCAATCTGAGCTCATGCAACGTTTGTCTTCCCACATGTACCAAGTGAAGAAGAGCAGACTTTCCACCATGTCTTCTCGCCATCCATTACAAAGGTGTCTTCACTTTGCTTCCTCTGATGACTTGCCATACTCTTGCAAGCACGCGAGAAGTTGCCAATGATTCCACATTTACTGCATCTCTTGCCATGTGCGGGGCTGTATTGTTGGTGTGGCCGTTGGTGGCTACCAGCGTACCAATGACAAGGTATTGATGATCGCTGCGCATTTTCCCTTCCGGTTAGCGGTTTGAAAGTGTAATGTACCTGTTCTTAGTTGCTTCTAGCGGTCTTTATTGGTTGATTTGCATATGTAGTGGCCTCAAAGGTTTTTGCAACTTCAACCACTTCTTTCAAAGTGACCTTTGTTTGTAAGGTGTTTCGATGTCTGTGACCTTTACCAATCAGTTTCACATGAACCGAACCAGCAATGAATTGGTCTCTCACGAGCTCATGAACAAAATTTTGGTACATACATTATGCGCTTTGGTTGTGGACTGGAGTTTCCCACGAGACAATAGGCTCACTTTCTTTTGAATAAGTAAGAAATTTTTGTCTTTTGCCTGAACTCCGATACTAGTGCCGTATAATTCTCCTAGCAAAGCCACACGGTGAGGTTTCTTTTGATTCTCTTCGGTCAGACCCAAACTGTACTTGTACATTGATCTTGTAGCTGGAGACAGAGATGCCACCAACTTTATTACGCGAAAATAAGTTCTTATACAGTGGAACCCCGCCGTACGTTCACCTCATTAATACGGCCAATTATTTTGTCCCAGCGAAATGTCCATAGAAACCTCTTCAATGAGGACACAATAACCATCACCGGCACCAACACCAGCACCATCAGCATCACCAGCATCATCATCATCATCAGCATCATCATCATAATCATCATCATCATCGCATATTTCCCCAGGACAACCCTTGAGTACAAAGTACTGTTATCAACGGGGTCCTGCTGACTAAGAATTAAACATAGGCACGCAAGGCGTGCATGAGTTATTTTTTTTGTGTGAAGTGTCGGAGATAGGAGCATTCATGGAGCTGTTTACAGTAATGATTTGGTTAATTTGACAAGTTTTTCTGTTGCGATGTACAGCAAGAAAGAAACTGGGAATTTACCATGTACATGCGATGTTACATCGGTCATAGTAAGATAGCTAAATAGTAAGCTATAAAATGTTTGACTGAACAAACTACAGTAATCTGACACGTCTCCAGATTAATGTAGATACCATCTTATTTTCTAACAGGCAA